ATATATATATATATATATTAATATTAGCGGTGGCGGTAGTAATATATAATCTTCGCATAATATCGCGGCACTTTCGCTGGCATCGACGACGCGTTGTCCGGCGTGTTCCTCGGACGTCAACTGCTAACCAGCGTTGATAGCGACGGTGCGCGAGTGCGAATCGAATCGTAGACGTTGTCACTTTGACAACGGGAAGAAGACTACGGTATAATTTGCGGCGGAATGTCGTCGGGCGTGCGGCGCTTGCTGGACTTTGCACAGCGGCGTATAACGCGAGGTGTTGGTCAGTCAAATACTCATAATAGGGCGACGGCTGATAAAGGTGGCACGAGTCGTGGGGCATTGTGTATAATGAAACGACGCGGGCCGTGTCAATTACAATAAAAATTTGTTATATATATACATAATTGATGACACGCGCGCGTCTACGGGTTAGAAAATATTGTTGTCTACGAGTGGTGAGCGGGGTGGGGCGAATGCATTACAACAGTATAGTCTCAAGGTCATACACGACGGGATACGCGACATAATAACACGTGCCGCGTGGAGTTACAAACTTACAAACGACAAACAAACAACAAACAACAAACAACAAACATACACGTGAAACTAATATAAGCGTGTTAAAAACAATGGAAATGTCGGTTATCCAAAATTTTTGAGTTTTCAAACTTTAAGCTTTTTGTGGCAGGGGTTAATTTTTTCTGATTTACCTAAAACATTGGGTACCTCATTTTTATAAGAATTGAAACTAATTTTGATTGTATAATTTTAGAAAAGTTAAGTTTTTAAAATGATTCCTGTTCACTAAAACCACCCGATGTCAATACATAAGGTTATTATACATTGTATAATTTACGGTAACAACATGAAGATATCATTTATTATCATCGATACAGCTGATTACTCTCAGAGTTCTATGAGTCGTGATAATTAAATAATTTAAATTATTGAATATTGCTTAACAGTAATTTAGGGTAATGTATAAGTCACCACTATGCACTTAAATAGTTCTAACGACTAACTTAATACGCTAGTGCAGAAAACAACAAACGTTTTATTATAAAAAATTATTATTATTATTAATATACCTTGTTTATTTTTTTGAACAATGTTACATTTTAATTTTTCTGAAAATGTATTGTGAAAGGAAAATACTTGTAATCCCTTACTAAAATAAGAGTAAGTTGAAGCTTCGTTATTTAAATTATTTGTGAGTGTTTCAATATTTTTAATTTTATTCTCCAACTGAGCTATAATTTTTTCACATTCGGTATGATCGTATATATTAGTGTTTTTCACTCCAGTGTCAAAGTGAATTAAATTAAACTCCATAGAACCAGCACATCTCAAATAAAGTTGATCAATAAATCCTGAATCCAATTCATCAATTTGTTGAGATTCAATTATTCCTACTATTCCTCGTAACAAATCATTAGTGGCACTCAAGTGAAATTCAACGCTCTTTGGTAAATATTTTATTTTTATTAAATTATTAATAGTTTTATTCAAATCTTTACCTGCATTTATTAGATTATCCTTATATATCATGACTCTAGTAATTATTTTGCTTTCGTCAATATAATTACCAAAAATTATTTTGTTCAATAAATGTGCAAATTTAGCAACACAAATGTAATATGGATAAACTGTTGCAGCTACAATTTGGCGTTGGAATGATTCTACACAGTCAACATCAAATGTGTGTTTAATCATGTCAAACAACACTTCCATGTTTGGATAATTTCCGTTTTCTAGTTTTTCATTAATTGGAACTTCAATTATTTCACTAAATTTAGATCTTTTACTTAAATCAAATAAATTTGAAAACAACATGGATTTCGGGTGATAGACAGTTTTATTCAGTTCTTTGTTTTCTATTTTTATTTGAAAATAATATCTTAAATCAACTTCAGTGTCATTTACTTTACTCATTGTTAGTTCAATGTTACTTTTATCGAATAAGGTTTCAATAGTTTCATTATTTGGTGGTAACATATCATTAATAAACACATTATCGTTATAATTTTGATCGACAAATTGGTTTTGAATGACAATATCGGGGAAATTCATTTGTTTACCTTTATAACATGCGTCTAAAATATTTTGTATTAGTTGTTCAAATAATATTGGATAAATTTTCTTAAATTCGTTTATAAAAATTTCTCGATCACTTAATTCTCTAGTTTGAACTGTTACGTTTTGATACGTTTGTAATAGTAAGGTATTTGAAAGATTATTCAAATAAAAATTTGTGTATAATAATCCATTCAAGTTTTTGAATGGACTTGTAGACCATGAAATAATTATTTTACTTATTGATTTTATTTTTTCAGCCATCGCTTTTACAATTGGACCCAAGGTTTGAAGACCCTTAGCAAATTTTTTAATTAAAATATCTGGTTTATCTGCTGATATAATTTTGTTGAAATATATTACTTTGGTGTTCAAATTGTAAAGTATATACTTACTATAATAGCAATCGAGGTATATTTCACTTGAAATAATACTATGTACACTACTTATTAATAAAAAACAAAATAATGAAAATTTACTTGTCATTATAGATATGTTAAAATCAAATATATAACAAGCAAGATACTAGAAAAATTAAATTTAATTATGAAAAATTTAACATTTTTCATTTTATAATATATGATGTTTATTATCTCCCTGAAAAATCTATTTACAAACTTTGTGTTCATAAATCCGTCAATAATTTTTTTATTTAAACAGGAGTATCGTTTTATTTTTTTATGTTTACTTGGTGTTAGTTATAATGATTTTGTATATCTTAGAAAAAATATTATGTTCAAAAAAATAAGCTTTAGTTTGCTTTAGAGTGTTGTTACATACTTAATTAGTTATTTGTAATTTATTTAATGATTTTTTCTTAACTGTATTATTTAATCTCGTTACATATAATAAATTGGCCAGCTATTATTGTGACTATTAAAACCTATTGAATGTATAACTTCATTGGATGTTTTTGAAAATGACCCAATAAAAGTTAAAACTTTATTTGCAAATTCCTTTAACTATCAGTTTTATTTAGATGATTAGTCAAAAAGTTAAATTACGAATAAATGATATGAATTATGGGTCCTTTACTGCATTTAAACAATTATTTGACAAAGAAGAATATTTGTCAGGGTAATAGACAAAATTGTATATAGTAACTATATATAATTTAAATAAATGTTTTTTTTTTTAATCTTATAGATTACAAACCAGTTTAAATATCAATTTTTATATGTAATTTATCTTCCGATAAATTTACTGATTAGTAAGCATTTAATTTGCAAAGTTTCTTTTTCAGAATATTTAAAAATTATAATAAATAACATTATAATAGGCATGATAATTATAAATGATTTTAACAATCCGTTCTATAAACAGTCCTTGTTGAGACCATCAAACAATCATGTCTTACGTAGCAGTTGTCACTAGCGGAAATTACGACTGTGTGTGAATAATAGGAGTTTTTATTTTTTGTCGTGCCGTGAAGCAAACGACAAATTGGGAACCAACAAGTGCCCCTATTCTACGACCCCAATAATTATTTGTAACTATTGATAATTATAGTACACATTACTAGTGAATATTGTTTCTTGACTTTTGTGCAAGCGATTGATTTTCAACGGCATTAGAGTGATATGGTGACATTAAAAAATAGGTTTACCTACGTGTTTCTCCCTTGAAATGGCAAATAAATTATATTATGTCGCAATTGTTTTATAGCATCTTTTTTCATTATTTATTATTTTTTATGCTGACGAATAGCGACTTAACGACACGCATAACTTATTATGCTTACTTAAACGTCGTGAAAACCAACGACTGATATCATTTGATAATGGGCGAGTTCTTAAATTATGAGATGTCGGTGGATTTTGACATGCTGTAACCAAGTAACGTCGTGTGTATTATTTATAGTAATTTCGATTAACAGCATAATATATTATACAGGGTGGCCCACCACTCACTGACAACTTAAATAACTTTTGATCCAGTTAATATTTTTAGTTGATTTTTTTTTTAAATAATAGTTATACGTTAGGTCTATAGCTATATCTCAATAATTAATTTTTTTACATTTTATTAAAAATATTNCAAACTACTTTGATTAGTTCTAAATAAAAAAAAATTATGTTTATCACTTCTTAGGGTATAGTAGTTTATATTGAACTATTTAATTTTTGTTGTTGGCAAGCAGCTAATCATGTCAAATGTTATAAAAAAATAACTTTGACTCTGTATCTTCACACTCTTGGTTAAATGTAATAGAGATATTTCTATACATTTTTTATACTTTTTAAAATTCATCAAAAATAATTAATTTAGTAAATATAATTGCAATATATTGTTTTTAATTATTTAACTAATTTGTAATGTACATGTAAAATATGTATAATTATAATTATATGAAAAAATGTAGTTTTACCTAAATCAAGTTTTTATATTAAGTTATAAAACAATGTGAATTTACTCTCACATTGAATAATGTACGTGTTCATTAAATTGATGTTTTTAAAAGATGAACTTTATTAAATTTTGTATAGTTATTATTACTCATCAATGTGTTAAATATACAAATTGAATATAAAGAAAAACAGAATAATATTTACTACAAAATTTTTTTCTAAATTATTTTTCCCATATTATAATTTACAATAAACATAAAAATGCTGACAATATATTTATCATAATTATTCTTCTATTGACAGAACATTTACGTCATCTCAAATTCTTAAATAGGAAATTCAGTAAATATTATGTTTATATTAATTAATGAAGTAATATTATACTAAAATAAATATATATGTAACATAATAATAAATAAATGAAAATACTTCTATGATTAAAAAATTTAGAAATCTTATGTTTTACTTTAATAATTACTAAGAATACGTTAAAGAAAAATATGTCATTGAATTGTATAAAACACGTTTATATAAATTACAAATTTTTGCTTAGAAATATTCAATTTTTTTTTACTTTTTTTAAATTAGAGATTTTTAAGATAATAGAATGTAAAATAACCCATAAAATTGAAGTATAAAGTTCTATGCTGTTTCTAAAACAAAAAAATTATTTAAAGGAATTTTATATTAGTATTTTTACTTGTAAATTGTATGGAAAAATATTAATATAAAAAATAATATTTTTAAATTTAGCGAATAAATGTTTGATTAAACTATAAATTTGTGCAAACTTTATCATCTTTTAATAATATTATTTTGCCTGTTGATAAAAAATCTTTAAAATAAAAGTTGCTTTAGAAAACATTTAGGTCAACATATACGATTCAGACAATACATTTAAGTTAACATTATAATTTCAATATCGAACTAAAATGATAAAAATATTATTTTTTAATTTTAAACAAATTAGAAAAAAAAAGATAAAGTTGATAGTTTCTTAGATTTAAATAAAAAATATGATTATTTAAATTATTGACTAAATTTAATTAGAAAAACAATTACACCAAAAAAAATTTTTGAAATTATGTTTATCTTTAAACACTATATAGAAATTTTATTTTTGTGGATTTTAAAACACACTAATTGAATGTAAAATATTTGTATATAATTTCACCAAATTAAAATTATGTAAACAAAAGGAAATAATTTTTTTCAACTTATGTAATAATATTATTGTTACAACTTTTTTTTTTACTCTACCACCAAGCTGATGACTAGAATGATTTTTTTTAAATTTTAAGTTATTGTATACTATTTTATTTTAAACTATCTATCAAATATCAAATAAGAAAATTTTCTGCAAAAATTTAAAAATTGTTACAGTTACTTAGAGTTTTATTTTAAGTCCTAAAATTTTTGCTTGAAATTATATTTCATTTTATAACAAGACATCTAATTTAAATTTTGAAAGTAACTATTTCTGTGATTCGAAATTTAAAAATTTGACACGGCCCTCATCGCTTTGTTATATACGATGCCCCTCGACTCGTGCCACCTTTATCAGCCGTCGCCCTACTATGAGTACATGACTGACCAACACCGCGTGTCATACGCTACGGTGCAAAGTCCAGCAAGTGCCGCACGGCCGACGACGTCCCGCCGTTAATGATACCGTAGTCTTCTTCTCGTTGTCAAAGTGACGTCAACAAACCGATCCGCACTCGCGCACTGTTGTCATCTACGCTGCTAACCTTTTGACGCCCGAGGATTACGCCGGACATCGCGTCGTCGACGCCAGCAAAAGTGCCGCGATATTATGCGAAGATCATTATATTCCTACCGCCACCGCTAATATTAATATATATATATATATATATATATATATATTAATATTTATACGTATATACGTATATGTTAATATTCATTTATATATTCCTACAGCCGACGCCTCTGCTGCCGTATATGCCTCGTGTATAATGTTCCCTCCGCCATGCCCGCCCACATAAACACGGCTATACCTCATGCATGATACGTTTACGTACTTAAGTCCCTTTACATGTATATATATATATTCTAATTACTATTAAAACTTATATATTAATACGCTTTATTCTCATTAAGAGATATGTGGTGTATTCATTCCGATTACGGGGGATGATTCCCGTATCATTTTTCGTCACTAGCCGTTTCTCAGACTCTCTCCCCGGAATCGAACCCTGTATTCTCGTTACCCGTTACAACCATGATATTGATAGTAACTATTATCATTATATAAAACTAAAAAGTAAAAAATAAATATAGTTTAAAAAAACTAAAAAACACGCTTTTAAAGCACATTGAACTAAAAAGTTCAAAATAATTTTTAAAATAAGCTTAAAACAATAATTCTAGTACTTTTCGTTCAATATTGTTTTAAGCTTATTTTAAAAATTATTTTGAACTTTTTAGTTCAATGTGCTTTAAAAGCGTGTTTTTTAGTTTTTTTAAACTATATTTATTTGTTAAAATAACCTGTTGTCGCTCATTTAATAAACGGCCCACGGGTCTCTACCCTCAAAACCAGTGTCGACCACATTTTTGCGACGTAAGTCGTGTCAAATTTTATATTAAATCTATGAGTTCAACCAAAATATTATCATAGAAATTAACACACAATCACAAACATAGTTTTTAGCTAATTTTCTATAAGATTTTATATTAATTATTTAGAATTTAACAAAGCAACATATAAATATTTAGTAAACTAATTTACTTTACTTTTACAAAATATGAATTTTTGTGGCAATGACAATTTCTTCCAAAAGGATCGTTGTATGTCACAATTTTTTTATTTAAGTTTGTAAAACTATCGTTAATACGTTGAGTTACATATTTAATATACAAATCGCTATCTTTTCAAATATACTTTTGAATGAGAGTGATAAGTAATAATTGCCTTATCTAATTTCTTATCATGGTATTAATGCCATGTTTGTAATGTATACACATTATCATCATATGTATACACAGTAATCATGAAAAGATAGCGTTTTCTTCTGTCCTTTTCTCAATACGTATTTCATTGTTTATAACCGTAAAATAGTACATGAAAATTCAAATTTTTACAAACTTCAAAACGCTACAGAATATTTACTATTGAATATTAATAAGATATTTTTTTACTAAAATTTTTCTTAAATTCTACTCTACAAAATAGCTATCTTAGATTTTTTTTTTACATTTTATTTAAAATTTAAAAATAATTAATATTTTTAATAAAATGTANAATTAAAATTTTAAAATAATTAATATTTTTAATAAAATGTAAAAAAATTAATTATTGAGATATAGCTATAGACCTAACGTCTAACTATTATTTAAAAAAAAAATCAGCTAAAAATATTAACTGGATCAAAAGTTATTTAAGTTGTCAGTGAGTGGTGGGCCACNATTAACTGGATCAAAAGTTATTTAAGTTGTCAGTGAGTGGGTGGGCCACCCTGTATTGCAATATAAATATATATATATGTATAACATTTCAAAAATTAGTTGACACATAGTATACATTTGTAACTTAAAAGAAATCTATTTTTTCTTTCTCTTAAAGGATATGTTTTTTAACATACATCTATCTATAATTATTATATTAAATATGTTAATCAAAAGTATCTTTAATTAATGACAATATATTTATCACGAATTAGAAATAACATAGAATACTATTAAAATACATTAACTTTTAAGTTTTAACTTTATAATACATACATTTTATTAATAATTTAAAGCACTTATAAATTTAATTGAAACATTAACAGAATATATAATACAAACTGCTTGTTTTGTAGTGTTATGTTACATATAAGGATAGTAAAAATTATAAGAATCTATCTGTAACTTCATACAGTCTTCTAAACCAAGATGATCATTTTTTAAACAATAATAGCACCTGTAGATAAAAAAACAGTATTAATTTGATTATTTTTGCTATTAAACCATCTTATATNATAATAGCACCTGTAGATAAAAAAACAGTATTAATTTGATTATTTTTGCTATTAAACCATCTTATATTACCTTTGGACATAAGGGTCGCCAATTATTTCTACATCATAGGCCCATTTGGGCTCTAAATCATCAACAACAAATTTCACTTTTTGTGGATATTTAAAACGTCTATCAAAATCTAAATTTAAATCTTCCTGAACAAAAGATTATTTTAAACTTTAGCATCTATTTAATCAATATATGTTCACTTTTGTGCCTACACGCATATCTCGATATTTTTAATTATTCCGAGGGAAACAAAAATAAACTATTTTATATAACTTTAAATAGAATTTTTTTTTATTCTTTAATATCCCCCGAAAAATATTCAAGATTTGTTAAAATAATAAATATTAATTTTTTTATTATTAATTATTAATAATTAAAATAATAATAAAAACCTTACAATATTTCAAAGTTAAAAGAATTTTGTTTGAATAAATAAAATATTATAAAACCAAAATAAAATCTCAAAATGTTGATTACCCAGTTTTGTCATATTATAGTTAAGACAATAAAATAATATGCTTACTTTATAGAACTTATAACATTCCCCANAAAACCAAAATAAAATCTCAAAATGTTGATTACCCAGTTTTGTCATATTATAGTTAAGACAATAAAATAATATGCTTACTTTATAGAACTTATAACATTCCCCATTATTTGTAGTTATCATGCCAGAATTACTCTTTTTTCCAAAGAAGCATATAGTACCTTTTTTTAATCTACGTGTTTTAACTGAACGTAAGTAACACTCCGTGTCTTCTAATTAATAACACATTAAATTGGAAAAATATTTATATTCAAATTTTTAAGCTTTTATAAAAATATATACAAATTTAAGTATTAAATGTGTTTCAATTTTAATTTTAAACAATTTTTAAAAAACTTATGGTACCTTCTTCTTGCTTACTCTTTTCCACAATGGCGGCTCCTTCAATATCTGCTATTTTAGGATCTGCCATACCAAGTTCGTGAACCTCTTTTTCAAACTTCTCACATCCCTCAAGAGTCTTGTTAAAGTTATTGTCAATAATATTTACCCTTTCATTAGACACATTATCTAACGTCGTCATTGTTTTAGTTCCTGAATCCTGAATATCATGTCTACTAACTGGACTTAAGTAACAGTCCATGCTTTCTAATTAATAATACATTAAATTACCAAAATATTTATCTACTCAACAATAATTAGTCTAATTATAGTTAATTTAAAAAAAAATTATAAATGAATTTTTTAATACTGGATATATAAATCTACACTACATTTACATGTTCAAATAAATGAGTGTATTAATTCTATGTACGTGTTAAAACACTAGATATTGAGAAAATTATTGTTGTGTATCGTGTTAAGCTAAATTTTATTAAAAAAATACCTGGGCTAGACTAAGCTAAGATACTATACCATTTATATTACGCTCCTTTTTGGAGAGACAACACGTAAAGGCCCTTGCCAACCGACGAAAGAATTTTTTTACCGTCATTGTAATTTGATTGTTTGCAAAAAATCAANCCTTTTTGGAGAGACAACACGTAAAGGCCCTTGCCAACCGACGAAAGAATTTTTTTACCGTCATTGTAATTTGATTGTTTGCAAAAAATCAATGTATACTAATGTATAATAATGTAAAAATCAAAATACTTTTTTCACAATTTATTGTGACTGTCTTTAATAGTATATAGATACAAAAAAATAGCTCTTCTGGACTAAATGCAACAACAAACTAATATGAATTTAAAAATAAACATTAATATATCCATGGTAACTTTATTTAGTATTTTTATGATTTGAAGACACTTAAATATTATATTCGAAGATGGTCAAACATAGAATTTTTAAAAAACTATGTTCGTAATTTATTTATTATTAAAAATTGCTTAAAATTATATTTTTTTATATCTACTTATCTTCGTTGTTCTAAATCCTTTGACTCCACAACCCTGATAGAACCTTGTTACTCACAATTCAACCAAACCCCAAATATCCAACCTTGGTCAAAATACCCATACATTCATACAATCTTTAAAAACATTTTTACCATATATAATTTATTTTTGTTATTTTAAATTATAACAAAATTTACCCTATATACAGTTCACTAAAATATATACAGAATAATTTGGTCATTTAACCAGTGCCAAAGTCTTGATATTATATTGTAATATTGGTCATTATTATTAATAACTTGATGATTATGTTGACTTCACCAAAATTAAAAATTATAAAAGGTTCACATAAATTTAGTAGTGCACAATAGGTATTTAAAGTTTTCATAAACATTAAATTAGAAAATCATTTGATCTATCGATCAATGTAATACACCTTAAATTAAAACTTATGTAATATACTTTAATTTGACAAAAAAAAATATTGACATCTCGAATTGCCTTCATGGTGAAAATAACTTCAGTGTTTAAAAACATGTTATTTTTGTGTTAAAATTCAGGGTTTTGTCTTTTATTTTATTTTATAATACCTTTCAAGGGGAGTGCACAGATTTTCATAAATATTATAAGAATTTCCTTTAATTATAAATAAGAATTAATTTTTATGGAAATAACTAAAAATAGAAGGGCATATTTTACATGTGGTATGTTTATTTTTATTATGGGTTTTAAACATTAACTTTTTTATCATTAGTTCAGTACATTATATTATTAAATATGGATTATTTGAAATGTCGGACAGTTCTTCGGAAGTGACCGATGAAAATCATATTCGCAGATATTTCCTGTCATAGTATAAAATTGACATTAAGCGAGAACGCGATAGGAGAGGTAGAAAGTTTTAAGTATTTAAGATTAGTTGTGCAAAAGAACGGTGGTATTAACGAGGTATGTAAAACACAGGATTAAGTGTGAGTGATTGAAATGAGGAGAAGCTTCTGGTTGGTTCCAATGAGGCTGAAAGGTAATTTCTACAAGACTAAAATGAGACAAGGTATGATGTATGATTTAGAATATGTGGGCGGTTCATAAGAAAGTAGAGCAGAGAATGAGTGTAGTAGAGATGAGAATGCTTAGATGGATGAGTGGAGTGACTAGAGAAGATAGGATAAAGAACGAGCATTTAAGAGGGAGTATAGGTGTAGCGTCAATCGTGGATAAGATGAGAGAAAATAGACTTGGATGGTTTGGTTATGTTATGAGAAGAAAGGAATCGGAAGCTGTAAGAACAGTTGTAGAAATTAATTTGAAGGCAGAAGAGGTAGGGGAAGACCAAAAAAGAGACGGAATGATGTTATTGAATGAAATTTGAAGACTTCTGATGTGTGCGTAGATGATGTGGAATTTTGGGGTAAGTGGAAGTTTAGGATAAGAGTGGCCGACTCCAAGTAGTTGGGAGATTAAGGCGAGAAAAAGAAGAAAATATATTATATTTGATTAATAAATGACGTAATTGTTAAAAATATGTATTCAATAACACAATTTAATATTAATAAATAAATGAATAAATCGTTGTATTTTTCAATGTGAAAATTGCACTGTCATCTTATTTCATACGTTTCAATTGCTTATATTAAATGAGCATTGTTTTCAATATTAGATCTTATGTAATTACGAATTTTATCATCATGCTATCTGAAAATCAATTATACAGAAACTGGTTAGAAAAACTTTTAGGTGAGGGATAATTATAAATCTGATATACGTTTATTTAAAACAAAAAGTACTTTTATTTGAATAAAAATAGATTTTAATCATGCTCAATACATTATTGGCAAGAGAAATGTCAAAGAAACTTTTGAGTTGGTCTTCTAGGTTACCTTCATTTTTCCCTGCACGGCCTATTTTATTATTTATTAAAATTTTAGTGAAAATGATAAAGATAATTAACATTTTTAAAAATATTTTTTGTGTAAATAGTAAATTATAAAATAACTGAGGAGTATCAAGATCATGAAATAAATTAAATGATTTGACTATTTTTTAATATAAGATATTAAAACTATTTACTTGTATAAATAAATATTTTTTTACAGATATCGAGCAAATGCATTATTTTATTAAATAACTTAGTCTACAAAATCAGTTCTACAATAATTTCCCATAGCTTTTAAAATTAACTAGTAATGTACTTTGTGTAGTAAACACAAAATATGACTGCCGGTGGTTACCGGTGGTTTGTAGTAGTGTGTTGTTGTTTTAAAGGTGGTCGGTAAACGATCACCGATAATAATAGAATTAATGGTGAAAGGATGTCGGGGTATGTATACCTAGTCGGGCGGCGATCCGGATAGTTTCGCCGTACCGAACGGTGTCCGGAGTGGCGGCGGGTATCCTGTCGTCACTGCCGCCCATCGACCTGTTCGCCGAGGAACACGGCCGGTGCCTTGAACCTGAGGACCGGCTGGCGCTCAGGTGGATGACCATGCTCCGGTGGCGGACTCGCCTCTCGGAGGAAACGACCAGAGGCGAGTGGACCAAGTCCTCATAGGACCCGATCGGCTGAACAGGTGGGTGGATCGGACTCACAGTGAGATGACTTATCTTCTCACCCAAGTGATGTCCGGCCACGGCTGCTTTAACGAGTACAAGCAGCTGCGATGACGTGCGACCACTGTTCGGATTGCCCGGGAGAGGCTAATAGCGCTCTGAACACATTTTTCCGGTGCGAGGCATGGGCCCAGGAGCGGTACTCTTTGGAGTCTCGACTAGGGTCCACGTTCCGAGTCGGGTCCATGGTGGATCTGATGTTGAGGAGTCGGGAGACGTGGAGGCTCGTCCAGGTGTTCGCCGAATCCGTCTTATTAAAGAAGGAGGAAGCGGAACGCCTGAGGCGCTGGTTTAGGCCGGTGCCTTAGGTTCTTGCTCTTGCTTTTGTGTTTTTGTTTGTGAGTTATTTTGCCAACCCTCCCTAACGGTTCCCACTGTAGGATCCGGTTAACGGGAGAGGGCCACACCACGTTGCGAATCAGCTCTTGATTAATTTCGGGCTAATTCGCAACGTGGTGGTGTGAATTATTAAGACGATGTGGGCCGCCATGAAGTAATGCCACAAGGCAGTTCCAGGGCGGCCCACAATAATGCCGGTCGTGGAAAATAAAAGGGGTGTGTATACTTATAGAAGTACGTCCGATATAAATAAGTATATGATGAAAGGCCAACGAAAGGTTACTATTTAGCTCCTGCATAAAAATATACACAATAATTTATATGATTTGTAAATACCTTGCATTTTTATGCATTTATTTTAATCAAAAGACAATTTATTGGATTTTTACTAACGACATGATTGTATTATACATGTACAAATTAAACAATTGAATATAGTAAAAATATTAACAGAGAGGAATAACATCACTCAGCCACGAAACACATGCATTGCTGAGTGATATTATAATCCATCGAATGCCCCACAACAAATTCTCCTCGGCAGACGTTGTCGATCGCGACCATCCATTGTACACTCGCATTTAGTATGTTAATAATCACAATTAATTCTTAGGTGACAGTCCGCACTAACTGATAGAAGAAGAAAGAGAAACACAATCGGCGTATGGACGATTGAAATACCAACTCCAAATATGAAGTGAGTATTCAATTCAATAGACTGTTGGTGTTTTGCCTAAACATGCCGACAAAAAAATCACCAGAATACGCTAGCTCACTGGCAATGAGTCATCAAACCCAACGGTACGACATAACACAACTCCAAACATGTACAACTGAGGTGTCAACAGTGTCAGACACGACTAATATGAGTGCCGTAGATCAAGTGTAGAGGAAGTGGGTGATGATAAGCAACGTGGACCATTGACCGGACACGCACGTAACTTTTGAACAGTTACTTAAAATTCTTTGATAAAGGTATTATTATAGTTTTATTATATAAATAAATGTTTACACTTATCTCTAATTATCGTGATAAGACAAATATTCGGTTTCGACAACTCTTGTAGGTGTTGTTACTATTAGTGTCCGCACTTAAAACAACGCGACTTTTACTACTATATTAATTTGCGTGTAACTATTTCTCCAATATAACTCTATATTAAATCTACTTAAGACTTAGATTGAATTTAATGTTTTTTTGAGATTTTATGTAAACACTTTTTTATATTTATGTGGTATGCTTTTCAACATTGTGTGTAGTATTTTATACTAACACATTTATAATTTAACAATTTATTATTCCAATAATAAGATTCTTAACAGCATTACTACTATGTGCAGTTAACTATTTCCAAGTGGCCTATGTGTTTTTAGTCACCAAGGGTAGATACGAGCTCAATTTCAGATCTTTGCACGATAGATTATAGTAGTGTCCTACACTCTCATGGTCCGCACTATTTCTTTTCGGAAAATGACAGAGTTAAGACTGGCTGGTCGACAAGTGANATGACAGAGTTAAGACTGGCTGGTCGACAAGTGAAGAGACACTGTGAAGAACACTTATGATTTATTAAAACTTTGATTTTGATATTATTGTACTAGTACTTTGTCTAGCCAGGTTATAGTCTTCAATAAGTCATAGGTACAATGCAATATAATTATGTATTTTTAAAATATGTAGGGTGTACAATATAATTACATAAATCAAATACCCATATGCTTTATGCGTTTAAATATTTGTGTTGCCATAAGTGTTCGGATGGGAATAAGATGTATACTAATTCTTCTGAGTCCCATCGATTAAAAATTTACAACGATGTAGATTTGTATATATAGTTGTAATCAAAAACTAACACTGATATTAAAATATTAAAATATAATGAAATAATGTTCACTATTTAAATTAATATAAAAAAACTAAATTTTTATATATATTGACGTAGATACCATGTAAGAGACTATTGACCAAGAACTGTTATATTTAGGAAAAAATGACCATTTTATAGTTTGAAAAAGTGGTTTGGCGATTTCTGGCGAGATTTTGAAACAAACTTAATATTTTTAAGAATATGAATGCATGTATATTATTTAATTTAGAATCAACTCTATATTTCAGAATTTAAGGAAAACTTTTTTCGAATCTACTCAATTGTTTGAATGAATTGTAAATTTTTAATAGTCAATACAATAAATATGATTTGTCTCAAATTTTTGTGTAACCCAACAAATTTAATTTTTTTTTAAAAATACCTAAGTCAATAATATTAGCTTTGATGCAAAGCTGAAAAGGTATTGGTTTTACTAAGATGTGTTTTTTTTTTTTTTGTGTCTGTTACCACTTTTTCTCAGCTCTCACCGAATGAATTTCTTTCAACGATACGTCTAAAGATCACAAATCGTATCTAGTCGAAGACATTACCCTTAAAAATTGAANGATTTCTTTCAACGATACGTCAAAAGATCACAAATCGTATCTAGTCGAAGACATTACCCTTCAAAATTGAAAAAATTTCCCTCGTTCCCCGTAAATGGGGGAAACCTCCAAAAAAATTACAAATTTAAAAATCGCTAATTTTCGAAATTTTTTCAATTTTTTTTACTAAAAACTGCCGTAACTTTTTTAAAAATGAACATATCAATATAATGTTTTTTATATAGATGCATGATATCATTACCTTTCATTTGGTATATTGTTTTGTTATATCTGACCCTTTAACTGCCCACAAGAGGGGATTTAAAATGACAATTTTTTCACAAAAAAATAACTTTTTCAACTTGACTTTTGAAAATGTTCCGGAAAGTCTGACACTTTTATATATATCTTAAATTAAAGCTAATATAATATACTTTATCATGAAAAAAAAAAAATTTAGGATTTTATTTTATCTTCATAGTGAAAATGGCTACTGAATGGTATTTTTGTATGAACATTTTCGATTTTGTATTTTACATTTTTAACTTTATTATGCTATAACTTTTTGAAAAATGTATGGATCGATACAATTTTTTCATGAGAAGTAGTATTTATATACATCTTTCATTGGATATACTTTTTTTTTAAATCAGACTATTTCCCTATATATGGGGGGGCTTCAAATATAAAAAATGCATATAGAAAGTAGAACTTTTTCAACTTAACTTTTGAAAATGTTCCGGAAGGTCTGACACTTTTATATATATCTTAAATTAAAGCTTATGTAATATACTTTAATTTGAAAAAAAAAAATTTGACCTCTGGACTTGTCTTCGTGGTGAAAGTTGACATCAAAGTTAATAAAAAATTACGATTTTTGTAAAATAATTTTTTTTTATATTTTTAACTTAATAATGCTCTAACTTTTTCAAAAATGAACATATCAATATAATTTTTTTTTATATAGATGCTTGATGTCTTTACTTATCATTTGGTATATTTTTTTTGTAAATCTGACACTTAACCTGCCCACAGGGGGGGATTTAAAATGACAACTTTTTCACAAAAAATTTACTTTTTCAACATAACTTTTGAAAATGTTCCGGAAGGTCTGACACTTTTATATATATCTTAAATTAAAGCTAATGTAATATACTTTAATTTGAAAAAAAAAAATTTGACCTCTGGACTTGTCTTCATGGTGAAAACGGCTACCGAATGCTATTTTTGTGTGAAAATTTTCGATTTTATAATTTACATTTTTTACTTTAAAGTGCTATAACTTTTTAAAAAATGTATGGATCAATACAATTTTTTCATGAGAAGTAGTATTTATATACATCTTTCATTGGATATACTTTTTTTTTTTTGAATTGGACCATTTCTCTATGTACGAGGAGGGTTCAAATCTAAAAAACCCAGCACAGGGGGGTCGCCGCACAGTTGTGACGTGACATATTTGGATCAAGTATAATGATATCTGACAGTAATTAAAATCACTATCATAAAAAACGCTTCAACACAAATCTTTAGATAGTGTTTAATTAAAAAAAATTGGTGGATTATTCCAAAAGCAACATGATCTGCTAGTTAGTTATTAATATCCTGATTCAGATAAAGTATATCTAATGAAAAAGGGATTATTAAAAATTATTATTTCTCATAAAAAAATTTTGTTAATCCATACACTTTTCAATAAGTTATAGCATTATAAAGTTAAAAATAAAAAAATAAAATCGAGAATTTTCATACAAAAATAGCATTTGGTAGCCATTTTCACCGTGAAGACAAAATAAAGTCCGAAATTTATTATTTTGCATAATAAACTANGTTTTCACCATGAAGACAAGTCCAGAGGTCAAATTTTTTTTTTTCAAATTAAAGTACATTACATTAGCTTTAATTTAAGATATATATAAAAGTGTCAGACCTTCCGGAACATTTTCAAAAGTTAAGTTGAAAAAGTTAATTTTTTGTAAAAAAGTTGTTTTAAATTAAATCCCCTCCTGTGGGCAGTTAAAGGGTCGGATATAACAAAAAAATATACCAAATGAAAGGTAATGATATCATGCATCTATATAAAAAAAATTATATTGATATGTTCATTTTTAAAAAATTTATGACAGTTTTTAGTAAAAAAAATTGAAAAATTAGCGATTTTTAAATTTGTAAAAATTTGTAATTTTTTTGGAG